CTCCAGCATCTTCCTCTATCACTCTTCATTTTATTTTTTGATAAGGCTACCTTACTGAGCTTAGAGCTTATTTATTCAGCTAGACTGACTAGCCAGTGGTCCTTCTGGGATCCTCCTGTCTCCTCCTCCCTGGCACTGGGGTGACAGGTGTATGCCACCAACCCCAGATTTTCTGTGGGTTCTGGAAAGAGAATTGGGGTTTTCATGATTGCATAGGAAACACTTTACCAACTGAGCTGTCTCCCCGGCCCTCCGGTCCCATCTCTTTTCTACCCTGACTCCTGCCATCTTATAAGGATACTTGTGGTTACATTGGGCCTATCCAGACAGCCCAAGATAATCTCCCATTCCAGATGTTTCATCTCAGTCGAGGTTCCCTTTTGTCAGGAAAGGTGCCATATTCACCGGGCATGGGATGTGGACCTGTTGGAGGGGGCTGTTATTCTGACTACTACAGAGATCAGGTAGTAGTCAGGTGAGGCAGACTCATAGGGACTTCAAGTGGAATCAGGAAGCTGAGTGGAAAGACACTTCAGATGCAGAGGGCTCTGATGTGAGTAAGTCTTGGGGGTGGGGTGGGAACATTGAGGCCCCAGTGGACTGAGAGAAAAGGTTCTCTGAAGGAAATGTGAGGTGTTTTGGGAGGTACTGGGTGCTTTGTTGGTCCAGATTTCTGTGGGTTCTGATGCCAGGCAGGGCTGGCTAGCCACTCTGAGGGTCATAAATATCCCCGAGCAGTTTCTTTGGAGGAGGTCTGCGCCCTCAGCTAGGTCTGCCTTGGATCACCTCCCAGCATCCCCCTTTTACATGCTTTTTAACGAGCACTAAGCTAGAGGGGAATAAATCACATCAGATCCTTATGTGAGCATTTTCATTGTCATCCCCCTGCAGCCGTCAGTAACAGGAAGTACATAAAAGTGACACCTAGGAGCTGGAGGGCCCTGATTCAGAGGGGTGCTCAGCCCTGAAGTTTGGTGGCCAACTCGGGCCCTACTTCTGCAAGAAAACTGCACAACCAGCTGCTTCCAGAGAACCCAAGAGACAACAGAAGGCATCTAAGTCCCCAGGGAAATACCTTTTGGTTCCTGTCCCCATCAGCATGTTGGAGAACAAGACCTGGCTGGGGGAGGGGCAGGGGAGTGGGATCTTCTTTTCTATGACTTCCTTCCCGCTTGTCTTATGCTGGCAGATAGGGCCGGTGGGGATACAGCAGCTGTTAGCTCTGTTATGAAGGGCTCAGCGCTTTTTGTTGCCAGAATCCCAGGCCCTGTACCACCTGGTTTGGGGCTTTAGGGAGAATGTGAAGTGGGGGCAATCTAGGCCCTGGACTAAGAAGTCACGGTGCCCTCTAGTGCCCCTTTCCCCTCCTCACTTCTCTTTAAGCAGCAACCAGACATCCAGGAATGATGGCTGAATCCCACTTACACTTCAGTCTGCCCAGAGTTCCACAGGGATGCTGGCAACCGACCCTTGTTGGTTACCACCCTCAACTCTCTCGTCAACTGGTAGCCTGACAACAGGCAGTTAGTTAACTAATCCTAGGCCTGACTATCCCTGCCACAGCCATCACATCTCTTTGGTCCAGGAATCTTCTCCTAATCACACGCACTTCTTTTATCTCTGTTTCTTTCCGGTTAATTCTCCCATGGCACGATTAAAACACATATCAGAGCATACATATCATGTCTGTGCAGACACCCAGCAGCTCAGCTTTTCCCCTAGAACTGAATCCGGCTTTCACAACGTTGTCAGCTAGGCTCCACCCCACCCATCCCTTAAGTCTCACCTCCTCCTAGTCCTCCGTCCCCCTTCCAAGTGTTCTGTGCCATTCACTCTTGCTCCCTCATGTGCTGGTAATAGCCGTCCCACAAATTCCCAATGGGTCCACTCTCTCACTCACTCAGGTCTCCGGTCAAATATGTCGCCAAGGCCCTCTAACCCAGACACCTGAAGTTCCCCCTCACTTATCTTCAGGCACCTATCATGGTGTATCTGTGCTGCTCTCCCCCCACACCTCCTACCCTTCCCCTCCCACCCCCACCCCTCTCACCCACACCTCTTCCACCCCTACCCCAGAAAGGTCAGGTCCACGGAGGCTGGTGTTCTGTTTCACCTACCTTTATGCCCATGGTTCCTGGCCCAGGGTAGCAAGTTCATAAAATTTGTTGAATGACTAGATGAAGGAATTGTTTACATCTCAGACAATGACTAAAGCTATTGTTACATGACAGGAACTGATATGCAGATAATGCTTATTTCTTGCCCCTCGGAACTCATGGCTTCCTGAGCAGAGATAAGGAAATACATATAACTTTAGCAGACTGTGATAAATGCTATAAATGAGGTGTGCATAAAGTAGCATGGGGATGCAAGTGGTAATACAGTTAATTTTTCCTCAAGGTCTAAGGAACTATTAGAGAAACAGAGATAGATTTGAACTTGAGTTGAGCTGCCTACTTATCAGTTGAAGGTTTCTGAATTGCCCTTAGTACTAATTGCTTACCGATACATCCTCAGTATTGACTGTAACCATCATGGATAAATCTGCCTGGATTTTCAAGGATGCCCACAGTTCAAATGGCTCATGGAAAGATGTCAGAGTCTGATACTAGGTCCCAGAAACCATCGGCCTCCCCGGTCCTAAACAGGACGCAGGATGGGTCGCTACTGTTCTAAGGCCCTTGTCAGAGGAGCCCTCTCAAAGAGCCTCCGTTTGTAGTTCCTACAAGTATTGATGTGCTAGCTGGTGGTAACTCAGAATTCTGGCCTCTGGATACAAAGAATTGTCCAGCTGGACCAGCATGAAAGCCGAAGCTGGAATGCAGGGGACCAGTGCAGACTCACTTGGCTGCAACTGACTCCATGAGACTTCTCTAGGATATCCCATGTCTCTTTTGAGTTGGTTCAGTTCGAACATGTAGGTACAAGCACATGGGTGGCGTTAGCTCTCCAGCATCAAAGACATCCCTAACAGGTCGCACTTTGACAGCTCCCCTGGAAGCAGCAATGCTGCAGGAAGATGCCTCTGCTGAGGTCCATAAACAAAAGTCATTAGGTAAAGCCCCCTAGCTGTGCCTGCCTAGGGGCAAGGTTGTGCCTGTGTAGTCCTGCCTACCAAGGATGGACTCGGAAAACAGCACCAGCTCTGAACATAGACGGATGCATTCACATTTATGCCTTCCATTTCCCAGGAGTTTTCACACACGTTATTTAATTTGGTTCTCACAGCGGTCCTATGAGGTGGAACAGTCATGTATTTTATTGTTTTTATTAGTATTTTTCCCATTACAGTTTATTATAGAAATTCTGGAACGCATCAGAAGGCACAATGAACACAATAAAGATCACGTGTAATCATATCCTGTGAAGATGTATCTTTCTGCCCATCCCCCCAAGGCGTAAAGACATAAACAATCTATATGGCATTCTGTCCTGGGGGGTGGCAGCTAAAATTGGCTCCAATTCCTATACTATTGCCCATGCAAGTATGTCTGAAAATTTCTAGATGGGCTCATAGACTCTCTTTTCTATTCCATAAAGTTCCTGAGTTGCAAGCCATGGAGATTCAGGCTAAAACTAAAACTGTTGGAAAATGTGGGTTATCACATTGAATTGAGCAAAAATCACAGCTACAACTACAACCTCACAAAAGACAGATGCCTAAATATTACAAACCACAGGCCTGATGTCACTTTGATAAACGAACACTTCAGATTCCTTCACTCCATCCAAGACCCAAACAACAGGGAGAATGCCTCATCACTCCAGAGTCTCTTACCTGTTTACAGCTGGGCCATGGATGGTGGAGCACTCAGCTTGACAATGAAAGTACCATATTCAGGGGCAGACGCCACCCTTCAAGAGGTCAAGTTGGATTTTAGTGCATTTCCAATAATCAGGAGAACAGAAATGTGACTTCAGGTTCACCTAGCTCTCTTTTAAACCACTAATCTGTGGGGAGGCATCTTTTAGCCCATTTCTTTCTTTCCATGGAATATACCAATTCCCAGATTCACTTGACTTGGAAAACGCCCACTGACCATCTTACTTTCAGATCTCAGCTTGTGTTCCTTATACTGTGAGGCATGTTCCATGACAACCAATCACAACAGTGCTTGTTTCCTCTATTTTGTTTGAAAGCACCATATTTGTCTTCTTACAGAAGCAGGAAAGTCCCCAAAAGCTTGGCTACCCTTGATATGTAGGGTCCAGCATAGGAGAAGATTTGCCTGAGGAAGAGCACAAGGAGAACCAGAATCAGCCTCGGAGGGAAGAAGTCAGGTATTGGTAAAGAAGGGAGAATGTAGGTGTTGAAATGAGTGCGTGCCACACACACACACACACACACACACACACACACACACACACACACACACCCCTACAAGACCCTGTCTCAGAGGCGTCAGATGAAACACCTGCAAATGGTATGCTTTGGCCAATATCTATAGCTTCAAGCAATTGTCTAAACTGCAAGCCTCTGCATTCAAGGAAGGTAGGCTATCCTGTAACCCTCAGCAAGAGTGTTCAGCATCCTGTCAGAAGACAGGAAGTGGATCCTTGCCTTCATTTTCAATCATCTGAAAAAATACAGGAATGTGGAACACAAAGAGGGATGCATGGGCTTTGCCAATATCCTTACCAAAAATAACAGAGCCCCACTGTGTGAGGCTGTTGGATTAAATTGGTTACTTTATGCCCATAGCACTCAGGAAACCGTGTGCGACAGTCATTATCAGAGCTACTAGCCTGATAGGTCTTTTCAGGTAAAATGATAACAAGAGATAACATTTACAGGATGCCCCCTATGTACTAGACACTGTGTAAGGCACTTTTCATAATCAATCTCAGTTAACTCCTATGCAGCATACTGTGACCTGTCCTGACCAATGGTGATTGCACCCCCTCCAGGATTACATCCTATCCTGCAGTGGCTGGTTAAAAACTACACTTCCCAGAATGCCTTGCAGCTTATAGTCCTCGTGTGATTTTGATTCATCCATTTGGAAGTCAGAACCGGAACTCCTCACTGAGCTAAGTAGGGTGATGAGGAGTTTGAAGTGTGCTATTCAGTTTTCTGATGCATACCCAGACGGTCTAAGAGTTTGACTGGAGTCAGCGGTGGTAGTGACAGATTCCAAATCTCTTCGTTTCCCGTGTTCTTGGATTACTCCTGTGGTGATGTGATCCTCCGTTCAGAAGTTTGGACAGTGGCCTCCTGTTTCCCCAGCTTTCTGACTGGCAGATGTAAGTGTCCTCTTAGTTGGCTGATAAAGTGATGGCATTTTGAAACTTCTTAATATTGGTTGAGGCTAGAGTCTGCTCCCTGTGTTTTTCAACAATTTTATAAGTACCTGGTCCCCTATATTCAATCCTTCTCTGCTTAAGGAACCTTAAGTGTTCATATTATCTCCAGTGAAGCCTGATGTAGCCATTTTATAGGTGAAAAAACTAAGGCAGAGAATAATTACACGCATCGTCTAAGATTGTGGAACCAGTGAGTATGGAAATGGGATTTGAGCTGGAAGTTTTCTGGCTTTGCTGACTGTTTGACACTACACCCGCCATACTTTCATCCCTACTTCAAACTGACACTTTCCATGTGTTATGAAATATGTTAAACTCCAGAGATGTGGAAGTTATAAACAAAGCGGAGAACTCTTTCTTCTAGCTCTCCTGATTTGTAATAGCACGATAGTTCTAAGTACATTTAAATTGCACTATGTCCTGCTACTGGTTAGCGTTGGCAAGAGGCATGTAGCATTTGAAAGCACACAGTGTAAATCAAAAGCAGGTTGTAAAAGAGCTGGTAGCTAAAGGGATTCCTTTCAAAAGCTGATTGACGTATAATTCAGTGGAAATATTGATAGGAACAAATGGAGGAAACTGGGAAGAAAGGAAGGAAAGAGTGAGTAAACAGACTGACATCCTTCCCTTTCATTAAACTCTTTGCTGGGTCTCCTGGCTACCCCACAGTCCCCAGACCAGCAGCAGCTTAAGTGACTTCGTCACATCCATTCCCATTTGGGATTCTAAAGGAAAAGGTAAGCCGTGAGTAGGGAACTTGAAAGGAGTGAGCGGTCCCATTGGAAATTCCTTTCTGGTCCTGAGCAGGGAGGACTTGGTGGCTGGGTCACGTGAGACATCTGATCGTTGCTGACTGAAGAAGAAAGCTCTGGAGAAGGGAATGATATTCCCAGTAGAGGTGTAATCTGCAGTTGGAAGAAGAAAGACGACAGGGATGTGAGCTTCTGTAGAAGGAGTGAGGCCATGAATATGCCCCGGGAAGGAATTTCAACTGCGAGTTTCAAAATTGAGAGCGACTTGAAAGAAATACCCTCAAAGTTAGGGATAAAACCGGGGCTAGACAATCAATAATAATGAATAATTATAGAGACATACCCAAAGTTTCCTGAGGGATAAAGTTTTATTTTCTTTAAAGATTTACACTTTGCGGCTGCAGATGCCTCTCTTTGACGTGCGTTTATTTAAAGAAGCACCCTCCACAAGCTAGATCTACTTGGTGCCTAGATTCACAGGCTACATGCTTATCCCTGAGGATAAGCAAGGCATCATGTCCTAATTGCTGTCAAGGGGAAAATAAAGAGTCACATGCCCCTTGGGTTTATGGATCTATAGATAAAACTGGTATCGACACTACAAATTCGACAGAAAACCAACAGGAAAAAAAATAATAGGCAATCATTGTTAAAATTTTATGGCATTGAGTTTTATTTATTTTGCTTGCATGTGTGTATGTGTCTTGGAAGGTCGCACACATGCCTCAGTACATGTGTGGAAATCAGAGGACATAACTTCCAAGAGTTAGCGTTCATCTTCCCTCATGTGGGTCCCGGAGATTGAAACTCAAGTAGTCTGGGTTCGTGGGAGGTGCCTTACCCATTGAGCCATCCTGCTGAGCCATCTTGCCGGCCTCTCTCATAGGAAATCCTGAGGCAAAGGTGGTGTATTAGTCAGGGTCCTCTAGAGGAGCAGAGCTAATAGAATGAATCTCTTTAGAAATATAAAAAGGAGATTTATTCAAGGGACTGTGGTCCAGCTAGTCCAAAAGTGGTCGTCTACCCACGGAAAGTCTAAGCATCCAGTAGTTCTGTTCAGTGCACAAGGCTGGATGTCTCAGTTGGTCTCCAGTATATGCCGTAATCTCAAAGAAGTAAGCTAATGCCAGTGAAGAAATGCACTTGCCAGTGAGAGCAAAAGCAAGCAGGCAGAGAGCAAGCTTCCTTCTTCCATGTCCTTTATATAGGCTGCCAGCAGGAGGCGTGGCCCAGATGAGAGGTGGATCTTCCCATCTCAGGAGATCCAGATCAAAGGAGGGTACTCTCACTTAAAATGATTTGACTAAGAAAAACCCCTCACAGGTGTACCGAGTTGCTTGGGTTAAAGTTAACTCCAGATGCAGTCAAATTGACAACCAAGAATAGCCATCACAGATGGACTTTGAAGATGCTCAGGTGAAATACATGTCACGGGTGGATGGCTTCATGTGTTTTAAGAAGCAGGGATCCGTGGTCCCCTGCTGTCAGTTTATCGGTTGACGTTTTCAGACACTTGCCATGTATCAGTGAAAAGTTTCTCCTTCAATCACTCAACTCAATTCAAAATGTAGAGACACGATGAACGCCCATTATCCATCCATATAACATGCATTGACTCTCTACTATGTGCTGGGTTCTCGGGGCCACCGAGACATGCCAATCATATGACTGTGATAGTAAACCAAACATAAATGAAACACTTACAACTCTTTCCCCCATCCCTGACAGTAGAATTGTTCCTTCTTCGTCCGGTGTAGTTAGACTCCACTGTGTGGCTGTGTGACTGGCCAATGGAAGGTGAGGGGAAGTGACAGGTGTAATTTCCCTGCAGAAGCTCTGCGAGCCAATTCTTGCTTTACAGGGGTCTTATTTCCCTTTTCTGTTGTGACTGGCAATGTTACAGTACCAGCTCCTTTGTCAGCCTGGTTCCTGGAGCCAAGCAATATGGACTCGATTCCCTGAGACTTTTAGTGAGAGCGAGAAATAGTCCTATGGTTCTGTCAAGAGCAATGTGTGAGGTTACTTCTTACCATAGCGTAACTTAGCCTAATCTGACTTATACAAGGCAGCCCTATAAAACTAACATTTATTGAGTGTTTGCTATATCCTGAGCATTGTGCTGCGGGCTTTATGTGCATTAACTCATTGAAGTCTTGTAAAAGCACAAGTTGTACATATATGACATTACTTCTGTTTTATAGACTTTGAACTGGGTCCCAGAGCTAAGTTCAAACTATGCTGTTATTTAAAGCTAGAATGGAATTTTACAATCTAATTCACCCAGATACAGAACCTATAGACTTAACAACTGTCTCAGTCTACTATATGTTTCCGTAACCAAACTTCTGACACTGGGTCATGTCTAAAATTCTAGTGGTGAAATCTAAACACTGTAGTGCTGTGAGACCAAATCCAGTCTGGAAATTAGCAATAATCCCATCAGCAGGATGGTCATGCTCTGTCACCTCATGTCCTACTTAGCTTTGCTTGTCACCTTGACACAGCCTAGAGTCACCTGAGGTGAGGGATCTCAACTGAGGGATTGCCCAGATGATATTGGCCTATGGGCATGTCTGTGTGAGAGTTTCTTGATTATGAATTGACATAGGAGGGCCTAGCCAACTGTGGGCAGCACCATTTCTGCACTGTATAGGAAAGCAAGCCAGCAAGCAGCATTTCTGCTTCAGTCCCTGCCCTGCCTTCTCTCAATGATGGACTGTGACCTGGAAGTATAAGCCAAATCAGTCCTCTCCTCTGCTAAGCTGAGTTTGCCAGACTGTTTTAAAACAGCAGCAGGAAGGAAACTAGATTGCCTCACTCTAGGCCCTGCCTCTTAAAGGTCCCCCACCTCAATATCACTGCACTGGGAACCCAGCCTCTCCACACACGAATCCTAGCTAAAAAAAAAAAAAAAAAAAAAAAAAAAAAAAAAAAAAAAAAAAAAATCCAAACCATAAAAACCATTGTGCCATATAATTTTAGGTCAAAAAATTTGAAATAGGTTGTAAGTGCTCTGAGCATTTTAAAAGTGGAGTGTTCAGTACGCATTAGAATGCCTTGGGAAGAGATTTATGGAAAAAGTGAGAATTGCAACATGGGCAGGTGGTAGAGAGGAAATGGAGGCTGTAATGTTCTCTGACCTGTTTAAAATGGGGAGGGAGAGGGAAAAGACCTCATCTGTCTGGGTGAAATAAGGCAATACAATGGCTATGCCAAACCTGGAAATTGGTTTAGTCTGCCTTTAAGAGCATCACAGTCAGAAAGGGGCGATAAGGCATTTACCCAAATTACTATCATAATTCAGGCAAGCTGGAATCCTCTGTAAACGTGTTAGGATGTACCAAAGCAAGATAGCGTAGAAACCTCTTCACCATGGCAGGATTGGGGTGTGAAACAAGAAGCCATCAGCAGGAGGGCCAGCACAATGACCCAGATGCTGGACCCCTGAGCACACACCAGTCTCCATCCTACTCCGGAAGGTGCTGGTAGAGAAGGAACTCAGCTACATTAGTGTAAGGTGGCAGGAGAAGTAGGTCTCCTGTTGCCAATACCAATGGCCAGAAGGGCCAGTGGGGCAACAAAGCCATCTCTGTACATTTTGTCTCTGTGATGATAGTTCCATCATGGGATGACTCTACAGCTTCCTAGTGTCCTCGGTGGGGACACCACATGGGACAGAGTCTCAGGATCTCCCTCACCACCCTCCGAGATTCTGTTCTTGGTGGTCTGGAGTGTCACCAAGAATCTCATTTTACTGACCAAGTCTCATGTGCTTTCAGTATTGATAATCTTTGAACCTTATTTAGAAACTCACTCCACAATGACATCAAAGAAAACATATCTCTAGAAGTTAAGGAAAGCCTACAGTAAAAATAACAGAAATGTAGGAAACGATGTAATGGGTTTTCTAAAATATATTCATATTCCTTTAAGAATTTAATGATGGAAAGAAAAAGTAACTCCAAGATGGGCAAAAGAAAATTGGAGTGAGGTAGTCTGTGGACCTCTAAAATTATACCCAAATGCGTTGGTTCATTTATATCTTTGTTGGAGAAATCCAAATTTTCATTAGATTTTTCAAAGAAGCTATAACTCAAAATGTTGAAGATCATTAAGTGCTGCTGCTGTTGGGCCTTAAGGGCAGTGTGAGTGACACAAGGAGAGGGGGACATCAGAAAAGCTTGTGAT